AAACTAGGAGCTTAATATTTTTCCGGAATATTTACGTTCCTGGAAAATATCTAAAAATATCCACAAATTTAGAGATTGGTTGCTGCAACCAATAAAACAGAAGGTTTTACTTTATAATAGAGATATTAAACTAATTCAGATAAGTTCAAAAAATTGTTTCCTAAAAAATTCTACCAAAGTTAAACAACATAATTTTTTAGGAAAAATGTTATTATTACCTTATTTATCTCTTGTATTTGTTGCTCTCTTATCAGGACAATACGATAATTCAACGCTAGTTGGGACATAAAATGGTTGTTCCCTGCAATATCAACGATTAGGGATTTTGTCTGTGGTGTTAGATATATTTTGCAAACCTAGATTTCTAATATCGAAGAATAGCGATTGACATCAATTTTACAAAAAAAAAAAGAATTTAAACTTATCTGAGTTGGCTTAATAACATAGAAAATCGAGACTGTGCTACTCTTCAGGTTAAAACCATAGGAAGTTTATGCTGCATAAACTTTTGCATAAAATGCAAACTTCGAAGCAGGATTTTGACTCTATATGTTGCATATGAAAATACATAAAATAAATACAATTCTTAGAATAACGGAATATATAGCTGACTATTGTAAAAGCATTATATCTTCAAATATTTCTGCAGAAAAACCAACATTGAACATACAAAATAACAAATAAAGAGAAAGGATATGTTGCTTTCAATTTTTAATAGTTGTTTCTCTACGAAAAATACATGATGTTTGGTAAGTCCATGCATTCTTTACAGGTGGTTATAGTATAAGTGATTTGTGATATATTTCCTTAATATACCATATTAAGAAAATGCTTAGTTTCTGATCTTCAGAATGTTAAAATTTTAATAAAAAAATGCAAATTTATAAATATTGCGGAAACCGCTCAGAATATTTTAATGAAATTTTACAAGCTTTGACAGTTAATAATAATATATGTTTTACGAAAAAATATTGTTTTCAGTTTCACCAGTGGCGTGCACACAGGCACGTCTTTGGATATTTTTAAAGTAAAGAATGGTGTCACTGATTTTTCTTAAAATAAAAATTATTTTTCAATTCCTTCTTCAATTTGGAAGAGAAAAGGTGTCTTGACTGTTTTTCTTCAAGTAAAAAAAAAATTAAAATCGATTTATTGTATGGCGAAATCCGGTTTCAATAATTTGAAAAATAGCAGAAATGATGCACTCAGAAAACAATATTTTTATCGTAAACATGTATTGTTGTTAACTGTCAAAACTTCAAATTTTATTCTGAGCGGTTTCCGCAATATTTATAAATTTGCATTTCTTTATTAAAACTTTAACACCCGGATCGGAAACTAAGCGTTTTCGGAATATGGCATATTAAGGAAATATATCACAAATCCTCCTGCAAGGAATGCACCGACTTACCAAACACCCTGTATACGCACAGTTTGATCACAAAGTATATAAAATTTAATGTTTTTCTAGTACATAACAGATAAAAATTTAAACGCTGACATAAAAACTTAAGTTTTTTTGTATTATTGTATAAACTTTCAAACAAGTAATAAATTAGATGATGTTACGGTAATAAATGTCAGAATAGACAGTGTTTTGATAATTTTATGTTTTTCAGTATTATAAACATTTAATAGCTTTAGAGAGAAGTTTGTTTTCCCATATAACTAAAACGCCATAATTGATTTTTCATAATAACCTGTTTCACATTTATCAATCTCTGACCCAATAAATTAATCAAGATGGCCGAGTTTTATTGCTGCAAGTAATACACAAACTGAGGTATATTTTTTAGCTCCAATAAATTGGCAAAAAAATTGGGACAAATAGGACAGGTTAATTTTAGATACAATTTGCAACCACTTGCTGCAGTTACATTAGTCTTGATTAATTTTTTTGGCTAATTAAAGGGCTAATTCAAAAAAAATTCTAATAAAGTCTATCAAACAACAACAAATATAGGTGCAAAAGATGTTTATCCTCACAGATAAAACTTCTAACTGTTGATACTGCGGGAAGCAACTGCTGTAGATTTTTATTCCAAAAAAAGATAACCTTAAATTTGAATAATAAATTGGTAAATTAATTGTAATGTATTATTGAAAATGTAGGGAAGTGTAGCAATTTCTTGCAAACAAAGACACAGTTTTTTTGAGATTGAAATCATAGACACTATCCTCAAGAAATCTTCTATATTTCATCAAAGATTGAAACAATTAAGATTCTGAACTGCATGAAATCATATTTATTGGAAAATAGAGTGTAGAACAAGAAAACGAAAAATTTCAAGGTTTCCGCTCCTCTACGCCCCATCCTCATTCGCGATTCCGTTCGCGTGGCGCGCGTTGCGTGTCGCTTTGCGTAACCGCGATAGAGGAAAAGCAATCGAAATTTTATACTTATCCTTAATGGATTACTATAGTTACTTTAACATGGTCGATACGTCTTTGCAATAAGTAAAACTAAAACAGGTTAATGAGTGTCATTTAACTATTACAATATCGCCGCGGAGGTTTTGTAAAAATTAATGTAGGTATATTATGTTTCAATAGGCGGCTATTGGACTGGATAATTTCAGAGAAATCTAATGTCTTTTTCTGGTAGGTTATTGATTAATTGAAGGAATTAGATCAGTTGCTCGACGCAAAAAGCTCGGATAAAGGTCAGGCTATCCGAGCGGATCTAGTAGTGTGAAACTGACAATAATTACAGAAGGATTTAAGAAAAGACGCAAGCCCAAACAGACAACTTTTGTTGGAACTTATAAATTTCAAGGTCCTGGCGAGTTTACAGTTACTATTTTTAATATTCATGTGTGCATATCTCACGTCGATTTTTACGCGACAAAAAACGAAAGTTGACAGACGTAGTCAATCGATTCGATACGCATATTTTTGAACAATACTAATTTAACAATGCGTTATTTATAGACGGGCAAATTTACAAGAACTGTTAACAATGTAGGTCTTATGTGTGGAAGAGTAAACAGGACAAAGCCTTGTGCAGGATGTCTGGACCAATATCTGTTCGAGTTAGTTAGAAGGTCTACAGTATCCGCTTGTTTCTTGATTAGATAGTACACAACTTACAAAAACGAAATAGTTGTTCATAAAAGAACGTTTCTTCACAAAAATGTTTAGACCAAAAGCCAAAAAAAACATTATTGGTAAAATGTACACTGAGGAAATATACAAAAGTACTTACGATATTTTTTTTTATTAATTCAGACTGATAATAATAAATAATAAGTTCAAACACTCAGTGAACTTCCGTATATCCTACTCTAGAATCGGTAATGAATTTGTGTATAGGGGAGACAAACTTTCAAAGTTTAATAAATGTTCGGTCACGACCGCTGGGCGCAGGGGTGGTTCGATCGGAGTGATTTTCGTGTCGTTGTGTAGGTTGGACACTACAGTCGACAGAGCTCTTGGATGTTGCCAATTAAAACTTCAGGCAAAGTTTAGATGGCGCTGAAGTCAAAAAACGTTTATTTTGCAGTATCTTTGGCAAGTATTTTATCCTGCGTCACTCTAATTTCTAAGTAAATTGTGTTCTATAAATAAATTTTCATAATTCTGTTGTTTTTGAAATATCACACCAAGTTAAATATTCTCGAAGCAAAGTTTTCAGGACTGAAAAATGAATTTCTAGTATTTCATGCAATAAAACTTCACAGTCTCTGAAGGAATACTCTCATTATAGACTGCTGTGGTGTAGTCGTTGTTGTTGTTGTTTACTTAAAGAACATTTTAAGATTTGGATAATGCAATTTATTAAACCAAAATCATAAATTTTCAATAGCAACAAATACTTGTACTTGAGTTGTATTTTTAGATTTTGTAATAACAAAGATAATAAGTTATGCCAGTCAAGAGTTACAACAATTTTATACACATTTTAAACGTTTGAGTATTTTTGTTTAAGTTTTAATGCCTGAAACTGTAAAATAATTAATTTTAAATCTTTCAGTGTAAATCCTATTAAACTGTCAAGTATAAATAAATAAATTATAAACTTTAATTTCTTTAACAATATGCTTTGTAAATCTGCTTGTTTGTCATCGAGAAGCTCTGTCAACTGATTTTTACAGAATAAAAAAATCTCTTCCCATTAACAAATTACCTGCCCGAGCAGTTTTATATGAATCACCCCGTATACAACTCTACAGGGTGTCCCATAAGCACTTGATCAAAAAGGTACTGCGACATTCTTTGGCTCAGAAGAAGGCGATTTGACCTAACTTTCATTAAGAAAAAATGTCTGGTTCTTCTGCTATTGACTGTCAAAGTTCTTGAAAAAAATATGTTTTTTGTAATACCTGGAGAATGTTACGATGGATTTTAATGAAACTTGCTGTGGACTTGTTCCTAAGTAAAACTAGTAGAGATTGTAGTGAGTATTTGTTGTACTTGAGTAGTAGTGATAATGATTGTTTAAAATTGAAAAAAATTTTTTTGCGTCTTTTTTTACCAAGAGCACGAAAATCTCGAAAAAGGACTAATGCATCAATAAAAATAAAATGAATTAATTCCAGCGACCAAATAAAAAGTTCTGGTGATTCTTGTACCAAGACACTCAAGAATTTACCACTAGCCCAAGGCAGATGGACGCGGTTGCTTCATCAAAACATGAGTTTTACTTAGGAACAAGTCCACAGCAAGTTTCATTAAAATCCATAGTAACATTCTCCAGATATTACAAAAAACACATATTTTTTCAAGAACTTTGACAGTCAAAAGCAGAACCAGACATTTTTTCCTAATGAAAATTAGGTCAAATCGTCTTCTTTTGAGCCAAAGAATATCGCAGTACTTTTTTGATCATGTGCTTATGGGATACCCCATATTGCACATTGCAAGTTTAGGAAACTGAAAGAAATAATAGAATTGAAACCTCTTTTATTTCAGTATATGTACTAAAAACTGTATATTAAAAAGTGTGTCGCATCTTTGTGGAAGAAAAAAAAAAGATTATGGAAATAAAAAAATATAATCACCTTGCATCCTTCACAGGTAAAGGCACCGAAATGAAACCCAGCTGCTGGCTCGCCACATACTTTACACGTTTGATTCATCTGAAACAAAAGCAAAATTATTACTTAAAGGGAAACTTAACTGATAACAAAAGAAACATATTTATTAATTTCTTTTGACAACTGATTTATAGAAAATAAACTAAAATCCTAGTGTTCTAAGTTTATTCATACCGTTTGTTTTAAATTTCTTCATTTATCAATAACTTATTACTTATGAATGAATTTTAGTTTGACTTGTGACATTTTCTTAATTAGCTTTACCTAAATAATGAAAAACAGGAATTTTGAAACATTTTTATTATCCTGTAATAGATACAGCTTGACTAAATACATCTTGTTTGCGAGATTCAATTGCCCAGCAGCAACGTTATACTATTCAGGTCTCTTGTCTTTGTCACTCATAGTGCGGACTCTCTTCTAGACCTGCGCATGTTGCGCACAGGACGAGTTTAGTAAAGCTGTACATATCTCGGGAACCGCGATTTTGCCTGACTCTAAACTTTGATAAAATTGCATGATTCACCTCGGTTATTAAATCTGTGTGTCTTATCTTGCAACACGTAACTCATCGATTACCGCCACTATTATAGTACTTAAATGGTACACTAATTTGGTACTTCACCGTTTTTTGGGTCATGCTCGGCACATGGTTCGTGGTATATTGCGGTCAAGCAAGTTCATGGCACAGATGGAAAATTTCAGATTAGTCTCACACATACACACACAATTAAACGCCGAACAGTTTTCGCTAATGCACTATCTAATTACGTTAGCCAGCAATACGAGAGTGGTAAACAGCTAGATCACAATACAACTGTTAAAATTGTCGCAGGTCGGTTACATATTTCTCGACTCGAAATGGAAGATGGCTTCAGGCAGAAATTTACTTAAGACTAATGCTTTAATTATCAACCAAATAAAAATATTCTACTGCATTTGTGCTGCTATTAATTTTTTTCTAAATATAAAGTAATCTTAATTAATGTCTTCTATATAGTGGTCTGCAGATGTTGATTCTCGATAAAAAACTATGGAAATCGCAATTTTATCAGAATTTGCAGAAATGTAGTTTCAAATTCGAATGTACATTAAGATCTTCAGAAAAAAAGTGTATATTTCGTGGTCTATAAACAATTCCTAGAAATTTATTATTTAAATCATTATTAAAATTGGGTATTTGAGAAATGACTAACACTGTCCTCAAGAATCAGGTATTTCGAAAATTTATTTTACTACAAAACGTAGAACTTAGTAATGCAAAAAAGTGAGGTTGCTGTTTCGTGTAAATGGGGTCACTTAATTTTTATTTTGCCTTCAAATTTTGGGGTTAAATAAAAACCTGATAAATCATCCTGTGTTACACAATACACGTATTGTATTCACTTGATTTAGTAATTTGATGGTTGTGATGATACATATTTCTTTATTCTCCTTCTGCCTATTTATTCCATATGTTTCTTTTCGGAATATGAAATGACACGAATTTAAATGTAATCACGACCGGGTAGAGTTTAAATTATAGTGGGAATGACGAAAATCGTGTAGCAACGCGCGAACTTACGTTATTCTATTTCGTTCGCAGATTAGCAAAAAATTTGATGTCATTTCTGTATGAAATCAAACAATCAACATGACTCTGGGTTTCTTTTGAGTTTCATAACTTATTCTAAATATGGTCAAGGCAATCGCTCCACGAACGCAAAATTATGGATACAATAACGATTACCTTGATTACCAAATAGAACACCGCAAATAGTCTATTTCTATAGGTTTTTTTTCTGTCCATATAATTAACACAATTCACCTAATTAATCAGCAATTATAACGCGGCAACTTTTTTGGGCAACAGGTAATAGTTTCTAAAATTAATAGGTATGTGCTTTGCTAATTAAAAATAGCTGTTGCTAAAAGCATTTTGCGTCGTTGTGTCGAGATGGTTTAATGCCTTTTTACTTGCTTGTAACAATAATTTTAATATTTCTGTAAAAAAAGATTATAATACTAATTTTGATTAGGTGCAGAAATTTTGACGATACTTAAAGCAAACAGTGGTTGATAATAATCATTAGTCGTTGTGGAAATGATTTTAGCAAATGATGATGTGTACAAATGACTTTTTTATGCATTTTATGCATTTTCACCCATGTTTTGAATATAGTTAAAGCCAAAATTTGGGGAAGATTGGGGTGTTGCAAAGAGAACAGCCTTACGTAACTACAAGCGGGCACAAAAGCTGGGATTGCGATCTTACCTAGTTATAAAAAAATCAGACCATACGAAATCCTTGAGTCGAACAATGCAATAAAGAACTCCTAAATCGAACCGATGTTAACTCCGCTTCCGACTATTGTCTCCGGGTTAATGGAGCCGCACATACAAAACTAATAAATCAAACTATCTGGCACCGTTTGAAAATATCAATTGACCATGGTAAGTGTAACACAGAGTTCCTGTGTGTAACATTGTGCAAAACCTGACACGGTAAATGGGCGAGAAATCAAGAGTGCTGAGCCGCTAGCGGAACCGTTAATTGTTGTATTTGTCACTGCCGAGACCTCCAAGTGACTAACGCCGTGCTTATTGGAGCTTTTCGCCAAAATCAAGCATAAAAACGGTCTGCGTTTCTTATGCCGAGTAGGTTTTGGGCAACCGTAAACGAATTCCGTGTTGGTTTAGATATTTATTCAGCGGTGTGAGGCAATGGATTGATTGAAAGGGAACAGTGTCGAGCGCCGTTTTCACGAAATAGCTTTTTCCTTGATAGAAGATTTTAAATAATTAATAACAAAACGCGAACTGACATAGACATTTTTAACTAAAGAAATGAGGAACAACTTCTCTGCGAGCTACAGGCCCTGTCCGGCATTGAATATTACACCTCAAATATCTAGCAAACAGCTAAGTCCATTCATCAGCAGTACTACCGGGTTAGACCGGTGTCAAACTTATTGGTTTGCAAAAATAAGTCAAGCTTTCACAGTATGTACGGATTAGTAAGTCGCTCTTTGCCAGTAGGTACAAAATAACGCTTTATGCCAGTAGGCATTCAATGTGAAGATTGTAAACGCATTATGTGTAATTTTTTTTGGTATAAATTTATTAATATAAATTCTAAATTGAATTATTCTTTTAAATTGCCAGATTTGAAATCACACAATTAGAAATTGATATTCAGATAGTGAACTTAAATTTCCTTCAAAATTAAATTTACGATTATTTGTAGAAAAAGAAAAATCAGCAGTAAAATATGTCAAAAATTAAGAACAATTTTGGTGTCACACATGGTTCCGTTCTTGGGCTATTGCTATTGAAATGTATGTATAGCGTCTGCACAAAACATTCTATCTCCTTTATTTTCCTGTGTAGAAAAATGTGATAAGGACAGAAGTTTTCGGAAATTTTCTTACGCCTTTAAAAAAATACATAAAAAATCAATTGGCTGTTGGATTTCGATAGATATAAAGCAAATCTTCGCTATTTTAAAAGGAACACTCTTAATATTTGTCGTATTTCGGATTTATTTTTTTTTCTTATTACAGTGATGGAAATATATTTGCTTCGACAATTTGTACAATATTTTGCTTTATTTACTGATCTCGCACATAATCAAGACCGCCTTGGAACCACTGCGTGGGTATGTTTCCGCTGTTAAATTTACTAAACAAATCTTTAAATTTTCTATTAAGAAATATCTTATTAATGGTGCTTTATAATACTTCCATCCTGTTCTAGATAAAGGACATATATTACAAGTAAATTTTCTCGGTCAATATTTTCTCTCTTAGGTCACGTAAATTATTAGATCTTCTTTTTTCTACTTTATCTTTCAGAATCCCCCATAGAAAGAACTACATGGATGTCAGATTAGGACACAATGGGGTTATAAAACACCTGTTAAACTATTTTTTTTTTATAATAATGTAGAAACCAAAATATTGTGTTGAATATATATAACACGTATATATCAACTTCCAAAAAGCGACAAATATGGTATGTTCCATTAAAAAAATATACATTTGAAATGCAATAGTCATTTGTTTCTTTAAAACTTTGCTTTTTATAATTTTGTTCATAGATAGAAAAACAAAAAAGAATATTATGTAAATAACCCTGTACCTTTTTAGTTAATAACGTTGACAGTGGGCGTCATTTGGTTATTTTCACGGATTACAATTTGTAATCCTAAGATCAACACGCTCAGAATACTAATAAAGAATATGCTGGCTAATTAAGTTGCTCTGGTATGTCACAAATAGAGCTACATGTACTTATTATTTTTTAAACACGGCAAAGCCAAAAACAGTACAGATAAACGTCAAAAAAATGAGCATGGTCGTATAATCGGTATCTTAAATTGCAGTTATTAAGATCCTTATTAGCAGCTTACAAGTCCATATTAATCTCCTATTAATATTTAATATCCACTTAATTCGACCATGTTCCTCATCTAATCGATGCAAGCGCCTATGATTACGTTATCAATATGAATGTTAACTATCCAATTATCATCATCCAATGAGCCAAGATGCTGAAGCGATTAATACCCGTGATTTTCTCAATGCCATTCCAACCAATCTTGAGGTGTGTGGAATTGATATTGTTACACTTTTTTATATCCGCTGTTAATTTATTGTCAACTTGGGATATAATAGGCTTTTTTTCGCGAGTGAAGTCGTATGTTGTAGTATGTGTAGTATGAGTGAATATTACGTTTTTGCGAGAATAGTCAGTCATTTAAACTACTATGTGACGTCACAAGTTTAGATCAAATGACTGAACTCTTCACCCTTCAGCTGAATATTCTGTTGGTATATTCAACTAGTATTGTCAGCTGGTAACTTAACCTTTTTCTTTTTGACATTTTGTTTGAATGAGTATAAAAATCGTTCAGCAAAATGATGGATTCTGATATGGTTGTGGAAGTGGCCAGTTTAAATTTAAACTCTAGAGGCACAGATGTTTTAGTAAACATAGACGTTGAAACAGCAAATATTTTACTTGATGGTGAGATTAATTTTTTATATGGGACATATTTGCAA